TTGGTTTTGTTGAGCAAACATTTCTCCATAAAATGAGCTATGGGGAGTCTTTCTATCTTTTCTCTAAGCGTTTTGTATGATAATAGTCCAGTAACTCAGTATTTTGAGATGGCATGCGTTTTACGGTACAACTAAATTTATGCCAGCAGTAGATTATCATTACTGTTACCAAAATCCAAGTTACAGTCACAGCAATGTCCTCTGTTAATCTGCATCTCAGCAAAAACATTAGAAAGTGTTCAAAGATTATTTTTGTGTGTCGTATTTTGTCGAAAATGGGCTATTTTTCTTAGATGTTTTGTGACGAATGGGAATGTTTTTGGATGTAGGTATATGCTCCTCGCTCATACATTTGAGATAGTATATATTGTACATAACCGGTATATATTTGTGGGTGATTGTTTGTGTATATCGTGTTGTCACTTTGACGTCAGAGTCAATCCTTTTGTGTTTTTTTGTGTTAGCCAGGGTACGTATGTTTAATTAATTGAATATATGTAGAATATAAAATTTCAGGCTGATTGAATGAAAAGAAAAATGTATGGATATCATGCACTATTGAGGAAGAATGAGTGAACACATGAATTATATTCAATATGGGAAGGACTGTTTGGTATGTTCCGTTCAAAGATTACTAAGAAATAAAGTGTAGTGTAAGTACGTATTACAGTTACCGCTGTTACTTTTGAAAGGTATTCTTAATTTAATTTTTAGAAAACTTAGTAAGACTGAGAAAAGTTTAAAAGGCTTAATTTTTTGTTCGATTAATACGTAAATATGTGCCAGGAATGTTTTGAAACTGTTTGAGTTGTGCAAACGTTTGAGTAATTTATACGTAAGGAAAAAAATTAATTCTAGAGGAAAATGAGTGGCAATTTCTGTCCGAAGAAAACCACGTATTAGAAAAAAAGATCCTGCTGCTATTTATACTATAACACTGTTCCTCTATTAGTATAAACAGCGGTTTCCGCTTCCTCTTTTTCACCGTATGTGGAAAATCCGCGGTGATCGTCGAAATCAATGTAGTCCTTGGATGTTTTGATTGTAGCTGTATAATGGGCTTCAGTATCGTTCACAGTTCCAGCAAGATCATACCTAAACAAATATAAAAGTTTTTGAGTAAAAGAGTATTCAATTTTTGCTGGTACCGCAGGCATGCACCGGTTAAAAACCGATATTTTTAGCTTTTTCCGAAAATAGATTGTATGAAGAGTATGGCATGTTAAATTTTGCTCACAACTTGGTTTTGTTGAGCAAACATTTCTCCATAAAATGAGCTATGGGGAGTCTTTCTATCTTTTCTCTTTTCCTTGCAATTGCGCTGCTATGAAGGGTCCCGTTCGTAACGGTTATTAATCGTTATATCCCCATTTATACCAATTTATTTTTACCGTTTTTTTCAAACTCATTTTGTAGAGAAATGTTTGCTCTACAAAACTCAGTTGTGAGAAAAATTTAATATACCATACCATTCGTATAATTTAGTTGCTGCGAAAAGAGGAAAAACAACCGGTTTTTAACCGGTGCATGCCTAGCTGTTACACGTTATCATATAGAACGTGGTATGAGAAGAACATCGGCAGCCATTCTAGTGACATATGATTGTTTCTGTGCTCATAGTCCGTGAAGGGTCGATATCGTTGAATAAGGGGAAGGATCGATAGTACCTTACACTGTAAGGTACCATCCACCCTTCACGGATTATAAGGCTCACAGTTAAATATCTTCAGAATGAACCATGAATGTAAGTTGAATTTTCTATATAAAATCTCGTTCACATTAGCTGAACATTACTATGACAATATTTTTAATGAATCTCGTGAACAAATATCCTATCGGCTCTCTGTAAAGAAATGTTTGTGAAATAAATCCACTTACCATTGATCCCCAATTGTCATCGAAATAGGCAAATCGATGATTCTAGAAGGAATCTGTTTGAGAACTTTATTTTTCACAAGCAGATTGGATACATCTACTATACAGAATGGTGAAGGGTCATTAACGAATGTACATGGCTTTGTTATGCGAGTTGCCGAGCATAATAAACGCTTCTCTAAAGTATAAAAGGGTGTATGTCTAATGTTATCGTGAAACAATAACGAAACGCTAAATTCGGAAAAAGAAAAGACATTTACTTATATTCCTGTTGATTTGTATCCGTGTTGAATATTCTGATTTTTCCATACTCTAATGGAGGATCGTAGGCATCGATATCATCTATTTCTGTTAGTTCCACAACGAAGTCGGTGCATTTTGACTCAGTTTCATATGCAAACTGAGTGAGATTAGATTTTAACTTACCTTTTTCGTCATGCCTAAAGAACAAATGTGTTATTCGGTAAACCGGGGAGAGCAAAGTCGGCATTCACATACTCTAACGCCAGATCGTTACTGTATTATACATGCTGTGAGCATTGTTCTCTCGTACAGTTTGATTCACTTCGATATCGTTGAATAGATTTGATAAATCTCCAGACGTTTTCGTCACACGATCCGTACACATTTTGAGCTGTGGTCTTGGTTTTTATTCTTTGTAAGGCTAAAAGCCAATATATTCTAGCGTGGTCCCAGCTATCGGATTCGACGAGATCAAACGTTTGTTTCAATGTTGTATACGGTTGTTTATCAGAAGTGGCGATAAATTATATATTGATTATTATATATTGATTTGTACATAAATACAACCTATGCTGGGTATGGTTTAGCACAATTATTGACGGAACGTCTCTTCTTCCAACATATTTCGTTCGCCTCAAGCAAAAACTAGAACACTCCAAATAAAGACGAAATAGGTAAGTTAACTGCACAACACTATTAGTCACGTAAATCAGTGTGTTAGTCTTGAGCATCACTGTAAGAAAATACACTAATACATAGGTGCCACGATCTGAAATTTTTTAGAAGAATTCAATTACAAGAAAACTTTGGTGAAATTGTACAACATTAAGTGGGTCCTCACAGCGAAATCAGCCAAAAGTCTTTAGTTAAAATAAAGACATATTTAACCTGATACATTTGTCTTCTTTTAAAATACAGGTTTTGTGTCTCTATCCGAAAGGTTCTTAGTAGAGACGGGCAACTCCGAGTCACGCCTCGGAGTCGCATTTTTCTATGACTCGAACTCGGACTCGAGGTGAAAGACTCGATAAACTTGATAAACTGACTCGAGACCGAGTCACTTTCGAGTCAGTCATGTGCAACTTGGGATTGTTATGACGGTGTTTATTATATTTGTTATATACCAAAAGAGACAGATTTGAGAATATTCTAAATAGAACAGTGCGTCACATGAGAGGATTGAAGACCTGTTCTTGGAAAAATGATCAGGCGGAACTTTTCCTCTAGAAAATGACTCGAGGTGACTGCAGTCAATTTTTTTGACTGCACCCTCACTTCGACTCGAAGGCTACCGACTCAGACTCGAAAAAAGTGGTGACTCGCCCATCTCTGGTTCTTAGGTGTCTTCCAGAAGGTTTTTCAAAAACCCTAAAATCGTACGGTTTTATAGCTGATGAAATAATCAAACTAGGGGTGTTAATTTAGTTTTATTGCTCATTTATAATAATGGATAAATATAAATGAATCGTTTACTTTTGTAAAATAAAGATAAATTTTTTTTCTTTTATTTATATTTACTTTACACAAATAAATGAATCATTTATATTTATTTTCTTTATTTTACCTTAATTTTAAAAGTAAAGGTAGAAATAAAGAAATAAATATAAAGGATTCATTTATTTTAAAAGTAAATATAAATAAATGAACAAAAAATTTATCTTTATTTTATAAAAGTAAATGATTTATTTATATTTATTTTCTAAAATAACACTAAATTAACATCCTCAAATCAAACAGTAAATAGATAATCCACCATTTTCCTCGTTGCTTACCGTGAACCTGCTGTTCAGTAATATCGAACATTTTTACTTTTTAGGTCGAATTGTTATTACTAACTTTTTTGCTTTGCCACCAATTCCGCCATCACTATTTTCCGTATATGAAGTTAAATCCATACCACATTTTCATAAAAGACATTATGTTCGTCTGAATAACTTACCCATTTATGTTGGACAAAATCGAGCTGATAATACTTACATTGAGCGGTACTCAGCAGATGTTGCAGCATGTAAATTTGGATCTGTCATTACGTGTCGCGATAATCAACTGGTTACAGATGAAATAGCTAATCCGTGTCTTGCCGAAATACTCAATGATCAACAGTTAAACCAATGCCATCCAGAACGATTGTCACCTATGCCCCATTTTGTAAGACAACTATCTGGCTCATTATGGGTTGTGTCCATCAACTCAAGTATTACCTGCATCAAATATACTGATAAAGCATCCAAATCACCAGGCAAAGCACGGAAGTATTATAATGAACCACTTCCACTATCTCCGGTTTCGATCGTAAATGTTTCACATGGCACAACAATAAAATGTCCGAGTAATCCCGGTTTTGACTTAAGCGCCCCGTCGCTTCCCTCTCAGTCAACGTCATATGTTATTCTACAAAACGGAACACTGAACAGTCCAGAAAATGAGATATTTGACATGGTGAAAAGTTTGAATAGTTCTAGTGTATGGGATAATTTACCGTATTTACAAGACGACGTTGATAATATTATAAACTTTATTAATCAAGTACCAAAATCAGAGCCAACTCAGTGAGTAATTTGTTTATTACGTAATTATTTTTTCCCGTAAAAAGGAAAACATAGTTAATTTTGACGGTTAAGCAGCTTCTTTTCAAACCGTCGTACAGGTCCGAACGCCTCTCTTACAATGCACATGCGTCATATCATCTCTTAATGTTCTAGTGTACCATCAATGACAATGGCTCGAACAACATTGTTTAACATTCTGTCTGCTGTGACTGTAACTTGGATTTTGGTAACAGTAATGATAATCTACTGCTGGCATAAATTTAGTTGTACCGTAAAACGCATGCCATCTCAAAATACTGAGTTACTGGACTATTATCATACAAAACGCTTAGAGAAACAACAATCACAATAACAAATGACTATTATTATTCGAACACATCTCAATCTTTATTTTAATTTGATATACTACTTCTAATTCCGCACGCATCTTCTCTACTTTCACGTAGCTATTTTCCATTACTTTTTCATGTATTTTCTTGGGAGTACCTGTTGTATATGCATATACAGTACAATAAAAATAGCATCTATGGAACACTTTCTAATGTTTTTGCTGAGATGCAGGTTAACAGAGGACATTGTTGTATACGCCTCTATGAGTTCTACCCAACAAGGTGCAATTTAGCTTTGGGCCAAGTCTTGGAATGAATCTGCGGAACTTTTATTCCTGAATAGCACAGAGATAAAGGATCTTTGGAAAACTTTGTAATATTTTTGTTGAGATGAAGGTCATTAGAGGACACGTCTGGATACGTCTCGATGAGTTCTATCGAACAATGTTCAGTTCAGCTTTGGAATGAATCTGTGAAATGTTTACTGTAAAAGCGTAATTTTTCGTGTTAAAAAAAACACTTTTTAAAGTTTTTCTCATAAAGCGCTGTTTGTTTTGAGAAAGCAAATACAGCGTTTTGTAGAGCTTGTTGAGCTCTATCTGGACCAAGTCGTCTCCAGGTTGGACCAAGTTTAGAAATGAATCTGCGCCGAAAATATTCGAATCTGGTGCTAACTTTACCTACGTTGATAAAAAACCTTTCCGCTCTAACAATTGTTGAATACCTTGGTTAGGTTCGTCTCCAAAACCTACAGCATTCCACTGAGCCGGAACATTTTTGACAGCAATAGAATATGATGAGCGAATATTTTTTGGCAGTTCAACTAAATATTGACTGTCACAAATTCTATCAAGCCAATTTTCTGTGTTTAATAGAAAATCAAATTGTGTCGCCGTATCTGCATATAATAGATAACATTTTTCTTGATTTATCACAACAGGACGTCCGTACATGAAAATTATCTTACATTTAGGATTTATATCTTTAATGATACTGACGTCATTATGTGGAAATTTACTTTCCTCTTTAAATTTGATACGAAAGGGAGACACACGCTGTTGTTTTTTATGTCCCGATAAATCATTTCCATGCTTACGATATATCCGATTTATGTTGAAGTACGACGAAGTTGCATTTTCTCTTACTCTTTGTTGTTCATAGTACAGTAAGAGATAAAGAAGAGGTAAAAAGCACGTGTATATATCAACTATAGTAAATAAAACAAGAAAGAAGAACACGTCTTTACTATAGAATGTAAGAGTGAAGCAAGTGTGTTTGATGTCTACAGCTGAATATAGCGTAACATACCGTGAAACCTCCAACGGAGCCGCCGGATCCAAGAAAAATGGAGGGAGCCCGACGAGATTTTTGCGCCGTACAACGTAACTCGTCATACTGATTCCGAATATGCAAAAATCTCGGTTGATGCATCCTTACTTAGAAAAAAAACACCAAATTTTGATATGATAGACATGATCAGTCTTCGAAATAGCTCAGGTGTGATATGTCATGATAGGGACAAGAACACTTTTCTCTATTGATCGTCATTTCAAATAGAGCCGCTTTCGTGATATTTTTTAAAATCATCGTGGCTCATTAATGATGAATGCTAATTAATTAGAACTTATATCATTGTGAAGCTCCACTCTTCCTCCATCGAACCATATGATTTTGATGTTACCTTCATTAAGCTAATTAGACCACAATAGAAGGTGTCATTTTTTAAATTTTATGCTCTGGGGTAAAAAGAGTCAATCCGTTAAAATTCATGGTGGTTTCAAAGAAGCATTGTAAGTTTGACATTATGAAAATCCCATATACTTGCTTTCTTGTCTCTGTTTCGAATGGTTAGGGTGGCCAATTGAATAGAAGATGACTACTTGGGATGAGCGTAGTTGCCTTTTTAGTTTTAGCGTAGAAGAAGAAGAGGGATTGTTCACACGTATGAGGGACAATGCAGAGGACGATGGCGATCGTTTAGCAGTATACAACGAGTGCGTAGTCGTATGGCTCGATAATACTGACGAATACAAGTTAGACTACCGTCAAAAATTGTATTACGTCTAAAATCAAAACTTTAAAGAGAAAAAAGTAATCGAGTATTATAAACTGAAGTATACAATGATGCGTTTGTACTTGGTACAATAAATGAGTTCGAAGAAAGTACTGGATAAGCTATTTGGAATACACGTGACTGTTTACTTTTTCGTCTCCTAAACAGAGCTTTATAATCCGGCGACATCGAATCAACAGTGTTATTGATTTTTTTTATGAATAATGTCATGGATAAGATTAACAGGACAGATTTTGACTGTGTAGGGTGTGAGAGACTTATATTTCCTCTACTTATAAGTCATTGACGGGTTATTGTACGTGTGCTTTATAGTACGTAGTGTATGTATATTATAGTTTTATTTCGACTACTCTTTATAAAAAATTTACAACCTATTAAAACTAAAAAACTATTCGGTTCCATATATCTTCTACTACACGCCAACAGATAAGAACGAAACGAAATAGAAAGAGAAAAAGAAAAAGAACAGGAACAACGAGACAACAAAACTACCAACAAAGACAGGACAGAACAAAACAAACTAACATACATGTATACGAAGATAATTTGTACATAGTGGAAAGAGAGGTTGTGACAAATAATTGTCACATACCCCCCCACCACGATCCGAGTGCCCTCACGCGGATACTGCGGAAGAGGTTGCCCGAGCGGCCGGAAACAGAAAATCACAAGACGAGAGAGATAAAGAGAGAGAAAAAACCAAAAAATAAAAAATAAAAAGGAGACAAAAAATAAATAAAAAAACAACAATAATAGAAAAAAATAAAAAACATAATCAAAAAGATAATAACTAGACGGCAAGATTAAAATGACCCGGAAAAGAACATTGAGAGTAGGACCAACGAATCGAAAAACAAAGCAAAACAAAGAAAAGACAAAAAAAATTAAAATTAAAAAATAAAAAGGAAAAAATGAAACAAATAAAAACATTAAAAAAAAACGGGAGAGGATTAAGTCAATGTTTTAATGCCATAATGTGAAGTTATTGCGTGCAGTCGTGAAGAAGTAGAGTTGACGATGGATGACGTGCCATGTTGGATGAAGCGATGATGTGAGATAGAATAGGTGATGCTGAGCTAATTGTTGTGGGAGAATGGCGATCGTAGATGGTGATGTACGGAAGAAGGACGCGACGTAAACATAAAATGCCGAGAAACGATTAAAAACAATGATGGTAGTGAGGTAAGACCAGAGGTGTAGGTGGATATGTGAGGCTAGCAGTAGTGGATCGTGCAGAAGGGAGACGGTAAGGCATGCGGGAAGAAGTCGGTAGTTTCGCGACGACGGGTAATGCGAAAATTTAATGTCCATGAGTGAACAAACCGTGTCAGAGGTTGGAGATGAGTAGGTGGTGATGATAAACACGGTGGTGAAGGTGTGATCCATGAGAGGCGTTAGAGGTGGAATGTGAGTACGAGGTAAAGATGACGTATGTCCCAACAGGTGTAGTCGTAGCGATGAGCGAGTAAATGTATTGTATTGAAGCGGAGGAGGAGAAGTAGACGTTACAATGTGCTGATGCGATCCAAACGAACATCGCTGCATGAATAGATAACCGATTTTTCAGTGGACGTGGTGGATGAGTCAGTTGATTTAGGGTGAGTTGGATCGGTAGAAGTAGGGGAGTCAGGAAATGATTTCATGACCCACAGAATTTGCATTAAGCGGGTGGCTTCGCCTTGGGGACATGCGCCATCATTGATATCCACTACTTGGTCAAAAAACAAAGAATGGAGCTCGGGAAGGGGCTGAACCGTATACCAGACAATGCGGAGAAGTTCGTCGGGATTAATGTTATTACGACGATCAAAAGCGGACGAAGGAGCATGTTCAAATTTAGCGACACACTGTAGGGCATCAGAGTAATTGCGAGAAGATATATAATTGTGTGAAAGCCAAAGACGTATTTGATTTAGAGTGTCCTCAATGGAGGGAATAGCGTTCAGGGCTGAGGTGCCGTGTTAGGTAGGGCAACGCCGTCAGCGATACCGATTTTGAGCTGCGGGGATATGACACGTTTTAAAGAATTGCGAGTGATGTAGAGAAACATTGTGATGCAGGAGAGGAGGAACAAAACCACCAAGAGCAATGAGATCGAAGATAGAAAGATAGGATGTTTGAGAGGATGATAAGATGGAGTCGGAAAAGTCTGATTCAAATAATGTAACAGGCGCTTTAACTCGGAAGGTAAATATAGAACTTTGGGCCTGGCGAGAGTATTGTTCAGTGCAGAATGCATGTTCAAAACTTCAGCGTCAGACGAGAAAAAGGTGCCGTTGTGAAAAATACTAAACGGTTGAGGACTAAGGGATGTTGGACGACCTGTGATGGTGAATCTCGGACAAACGACTGAGGAGTCTAGAGTAACATTAACCAGCGCGACTGCTGGCAAAATCAAAGGTTGGTTTTGACGCCAGACTTCATGACTACTTGAGGGAGCTAATACTGTGTGTACTTTAACACAATGCAGGGTGTCCACAGTAGATACGGCCCAGAGTGAACAGCGTAGCTGTTGAACAAAGAATGGAGCTCTTGGAACCTTTTCGGTAAAACAGTTGTCTAGAGGTCGGTTATAGAGAATCTGTGTCAGACAGATATTGGTTGAAAGAGTGCGAATAGCGGGAGTATCTCGACAAGTTGGCATGATGTTGAAATCACAGTTAGAGACATCCTCCGGGTACCACTCAATACTAGTATTATCTCGAGGATTCAGTGCAAGATAGAACGGCATATGAGCAAGCCGAACGGTGTTGTTCTGATGATAAAAAGGGATGGTGGTGCGTTTGTAGATGGAAAAGGGAATTGCGAAGGGACAATAGAAAACAGCTAGTGATAACGAGCCGTCCTTGTTCGAGAGGATTCTGACGAGCGTAGGAGGTGGATGGGATAAAATCAATTTGTTGACGAACCAGAAGCTTCGATATCAACATGCCGAAGAATACTTTATGCGAAAACGAACGCAGAATGATATTGCCAGAGGCAATGACTGTTTGAACAACACTATTCAAATTCGTCGGAGACAAAAAGGAAAGCGTTAATTCATTGCATAAAATTTACTGCAACGCCAGAAAAAGGAAAGATGTATCAACGTGCTTTTCTAAGATGGTAAGACGATGGCCAAGATACTGAATGGTCCTTGAGTATTTGGATAGTACGGTTAAGAGCTTCCTGAGTTGCTTGCAATTCCGATCCCAAACGGAGCGTTATGGCTTGGAGAGTAGTGATGTTCCCAACCTGAGCTATGTCCTCTAAAAGGGACTTAACAGTATCCACTTGACGACTGAGAGAAGAAAGCTGAACGGTATTCCCGATGGATGTTGCGAGAGCCGTAGATCCTATACCGATAGAAATAATATCCAAAATTAAGCGACGATGTCGCAGGACAAAGGTTGTGTTACACTGAGGGATCCGAAAAGTGACTTCAAGAGGTAGGAGATAACACGTTTCATGGGTGAGCGAAAAAATAGCCGAGACAGAGATTATGCGATGAGCAGGAGTATAGGGTTCGATAAAATCCAAAAATAGTGCTGTATCCGGATGTGTGAGAGTGCCATTCGTCAGGGAAACATGTGCTAAATACCCGAAAACAAAAACGAGGCGAAGAAGCAACGCAGGCAGAAAACAAATCATAAAAATAATAAACATGCAAACTACGTACCGTAATGAGACTTAACGTATGTAATATCGTAGGAGTGTAGACGACGAAATATTAGCGAGCGATTGATCGGTGATTCTGATTAGTATTTGGTAATTAAATGAAGTGAAAATTTGTGAATACATACTTGATGAGGAGAGAATGAGAGAGAAAAAGAGAGAATAGAGATAAGAGAACAAAAAACACGATTATGATCTCAGTAAGAGTGAATTCAAATAACCTTGAACCGTTGGATAGCCAGAGCCAAAAATATGATGTTAACGTACGTGTGACTACCTAGTGTATATGGACGTGAACGGATGATTGATGAGAAATGTCAGGGTGTTGTAAAGGAAAAAGATGAAGATGGAACCTGATAAAGATAGAAGAGATAAACAATTTCGATCATGATTAATTGGTTTTCGTATATGGTGAATGAACGTGTATTATTGATACAGATAAGCATTGGCCTTGAAGTCGGACAAAGAAAGTGTACCGAATAAAACTAACTAGTAACTCTTAGAAGGAAGCGAGCATGGAAGATAACAGAGTGGTTAAATGCCTGATACAGAGAAGATTAGGTTGAATGTTATCCCTACGAAGCATATTAGCGTGAAAATCGAACGGAATAATCAGAAGCTGAGGAGCCAAATGCAGGTGAAGCAACATATCATTGTAACGGATGATTTTCCGTTGAAGTAAATTATAGG